CCGCAACCCGCCTCCGCACGAATCTGGGAGCCGATCATACGGTCTGTCCCAATCCCATCAGGCTAAAATTGGCATAGGTGTCCTGTCGACAAAGTTTAGCGTTACGTGGGTGAGGGAACGAACACCTCAACTGAGGGAACGAACACCTCAGTTAGGCACTGCCTCCGCGGGCTGTTGGTCCTTTCGTCCCATTGTTGCGCATCGCCTAAGGACCAGTAGTCCGCGGTGGAGGTGCCTAATTGAGGTGTTTGTTCCTCTACTCGCGTCAGCCATAGCTGCCTTGTCGGCTTTGTCTTTAGACTTCTCGCTCTCACAATAGTGCGCGTGATCAGCGCAAACCCTTAACGCTGTGAGCGCGCGAACTTGCATCAGCGGTTTGGTCCAGTCTCGACTGGAAACTGTAGTGCCGCGGAAGTAAGTACACAAATAACTGCTTGTTGCACCTAATACTGTAGAGAAGTAGAACCAACCTCGATGACAATGCGATCCAAATCAGCATCCATGGTTGTCACCTTGGCATGAACAACCTTTCCCGAACCGTGACCAAGGTAAGGAAATAGTCGCATACTTTCACTCCCAACGGATCACATAAATTTATCTAAAAACAGTATTTCAATCCCGATAACATCAAGATAACAAAGCATGTCAAGGTCTTAGAGGAAACATGGAGTGTGACCAAATGTATATCTAGTCTCATATATGAGTAACGCCAAATCCAAAATATCAGATGGCGTGAACCGCAATGCGGTAAAGCGCGCAGATGCAAATCTAACGCCTTTAGGATGGGTTCATGTCAATCGGTAAGAGCGGGAACAGTTCCAGCAGACCTGTGCAGTTCAAGCGATTTGCTGGAATTGTTCCGGAACTAAAAATTCAATATAAACCCAGCCTTGGGATTACTGATTCTCTAGTTAGGGGATATCCTATCCTGGACGACTGCCCTAATTGCATTCACCGCGGGCTTGTCTTCCTTTAGGAGCCTTTCCAGCTCCATGGGCCTGCAGCGTGCGGGAAATTCGCAGCTTGCAGGACCCCTGTCCTTCAAATTCTTTTGTTGATAGGTATTTCCCATCGGTTTTCTTCTTAATTTTTATTCCAAGCAGTTATTAGTCTTTTCTTTAGAGTTCTCTCAACGATGAAATAATCTACACGTCCTGCTTCAATGGATACTGAAAAACGGAAAGAAGTTTCAGCATATTTCTTGAACGCCTTTTCCTTTTACCTACCATACGATCATTTCCAGAATCGTGGAATATCGTCCCGGGCGTAGTTAGTGTAAAGGGTGAGCTTTCTTCATGAGCATTGATGGATATTATGCCTATTCCTCAGATAAAGACACCACTAATACTTAAACACCTAGATACATGTGTCCCTGATGAAGGAGTGCTGGAATAACAGTTCAAAAAATTGTCTTACGAAAGATGCTAAATCATTATGAAACACTGGAAAATAACATGCGCTCTCAATCACAGAAACGATATGCATCACCACCAGAGGTGTTTTGGGGAGAGCCGGCCCCCAAAAGTGAAGGTGGTTCCAGCTACCACTGGCCGCC